TAGGTTCTCTGAGGTATGAACGCTCTCTCCTGAATCGAAGAAATTTCACGATAAACTTTCCGGATTTTTCCCGGAAAAACGCCCTAACGAAAACCATAAAAAATCCATCCAATCCAACTTGAGTCTTTCAGTGCCTCTCATATTTTAGGGCGAGCGAGATTGTTTTAGGTATGACTTCGATCTCGGGTCGTCTGAGAATCTTTGGTCGATCTCCCTCCTCTCCTTCGTCCTCTGCATCCTATTGGGGTTGCTGCTTTACCGTGGGATTAGACAAACTAGCACGTACGTCTGAGGAAAAATGTGGGATTTCCCAAATTCTGTGGTTTTGCAGTTTCAACAACTGGAGTACGATTCTCAATATGACTGTTATTCTCATTTTCATCGTTGGAGGTGAGGTTTGTAAAAAGCGCGCGCCAAGATGATCGATTAAGTTATCAGGTTTTATATTTTTCCGGGGTGATATTTGGAACCCTACTACTCCTGAAGGAATCGTCCGCGGCTCTGGACGGGTCTTTTTCGCGTATCTCGGATTTGATGTTATCAACTGCCTCGCGGAGGAAACCACTGAGGTGTGAATATTTTGGGGGGGGGGGAATTTTGGAATTTTTGGGTGGAAAATTTTGTTCGTAATGGGAAACTTACAGACGCGGAGGTTGGGTGAGGTATACTTGGTGCACGCAAGTTAAGAACCACTCCGCGAACAACACGGTTGCGATTGAGATATACAATGGCATCAGCTTTGAGCCGCTACACGCGGCTACTACAATAGATGTCACATTCTGGCGCGGTCAGTAGGTGTCAGTCAGATATGATGAGATTTATATACTCATTGGAAAATACTCATTTTGCACCAACAGATCTGTAACGCTGAGTCTGACCAGGTTGACAGTGAAGCCCTGAGCATCCATTTCGAAATCGATGGATTCTGGGGAGTAAAGAACGACATACCCCTTCAGTGTACGCCGGAACCATTATGAGGATCAGACCGGTAGGGGCCTCTGAGGCGCCTCACACGACTAGCCGCAATACATACTGTGGATGTCTGGGTTTGACGACATTCAGTCGTCGTTGATTGTGGTCAATCTTAATCAAGGGTGTACGAAGTGAATAAGTCTGTTGATTAGAGTGAATCGCTCTGTTCACGGAGTTGATGATGATCCGGACCCGGGCCCATACTTCACGATACCCTAAAGATTACTTGAGCAAGAGAGTATTAGTGCCGCCCTGCACCTGCGGCACAAGAATAGATTTTCAGAAGAGCCTCACAAATATGATAGCTGGTTCGAACCGCGGTAGGGGTACTTTTCAGGCTCGCCGGCTCGTCCCTCGAGCGATCATCGTTACAATCATCATATGCTGTATTGTGTATGTGTTGGTTGCTGGTAGGCGGAGCGAAGCGCTTCGTGAATGTAATCTTTTGCCGTCAGTCGCATTCGTCCATTTGGCGCCGCTTGCCAGTGTGAATATGAACGCGCCTTTGGCTACAGCTTTTGAAGCCCGAGGAGCGACGGTCTTGGAGTGAGTACCTACTTTGTATCTTTGTCGCTTGAACCTAAGATATCATTTGAAGATTTGTTGTTTCCCTCGGGGCTGTTGGCAATACCATGACGTCAGTGATGTCATCCATGATTGTTCAGCCGCGCATCATGCTACGGATGAGCAGTGACGGTCTTCTCCCGAGATCGGTACAAAACCGAAAGTGAATCGGTGAGTCGATTCTCTCTCTTCAGATTGGGAGGCTCACTAGTTCTGGTACGCCTTCTGTAGCACTGATCATTACGATCGTCGTGTCATCGGCGCTCGCCCTGGTGATCGATTTCGAAGCCCTCGCAGATATAGTGTCTTTTGGAGCGCTGCTCAGCTTTCTGGCTGTATGCTTGTGTACGATGCTTGGTAGGAAATTTCCCGAAAATTTTTCGAGTTTTTCGATTTTTTCCCGATTTTCAGGCAGAGTGGTACCTCCGTGGATCCACCATCAGCAGACATCCTCCGAGCAGCCATCGGAGACGTACGGAAAACCCGGAATGCAGGAAGAGCCTCCTAGGGTCGCGGGTGAGGAAGGAAAAGCTGAATTGAATTCGCCTAAAGTCAATCTTAGATGTGCAAACGAGTTCCCCACTTCGACCACACTATCCCAGAGAAATACTCCTCATGGTCTTA